CGGCTTGAGCGGGGCAGGCGTGGGGTGAGGGTCAGGCTCATAGGGGTGTCACTTAAGCTGCACGAGCGGCTGACGGATAGGCACGCCCGTCCCTCTGCCTTTCGGCCCGCATAGCGGCCGGACGCCGTCACCAGCTTTCGCTGAACGTGCCCCGGTTCTCCCTCCGGCCGATAAACGGTGCCGGAGGCTACCGAGGCAGGGAGTCCGCCAGCTCTGTTGGTGGGCGTTGCGTTGGCCAGCGCCGTCCGTGCGTGAGCCCGGAGTAGCCCCTCCGTGCGCGCGGGCCACCCCCTTCTCTTCCTTTCTCGCTCCAGGCTGGGCGCTTTGCGCTTGGCCGCTCCTTTCCCTCCTGACGGTGATGTTGCTTACGGCACAGTTCCTCGCAGGCGCACTTCGTGTTGCCTGCTTGCTGGCGGTGCTGCTTCGCGGGGCCGCTGAGACGGGTGCGACATCGGCCGAGGGTGCCTCAAAGTCAGGGCCGAGAAAGGGGACGTTCGGCGAGGCCGCGTGTGATAAGCTACCGACACTTAGTGCCAGGAGCGTAGTGCACGCTGCGTGCCCTGAAGGATCGAAGCGGACGGCCCCTGGCGGTACCTGCTGCTTTCGGGAGACGTTTCGTGCGGCGTCCGCCACCCTTTGCTCGGCGTCTTGCTGTGCCCCCGACAAGGTTGCCGCGGCCTTGTCGCAGATTCCTTCGTCTAGGCCTTTGGCTTTGCCGAAGGACTTACAGGGCCAGATGCGTCAGGAGGTGCATGCTATCGCGCCAGCGTGCATGCAGGCCATTCCGATTGATGAGCGGGCGACACGCGACCTTAACGCGAATGTCCTCGAGAGCGGGCGGGCCCTTGGCCGGTCGACCGGCTACAGGCCGGACGAGAGGTGTGACATCCAGGACTCTGGCTTGCCGGGGACTCATGCCGCTGTGAAGAAGCCGGAAGGTGGAAACATCGTTTTCTTCGGTCCGTGCGAATTCACCCCCAAGAAACCAGAGATTTGATGTCGTGATTTTGTCAATACGGGGTCCCCAGAAGTCTCGACCCATTCCTTGGGACCCGTTTCTCATCCTGAGTCGTTTTTTGATGGTCCCGGGGCCCGGCGAGGGCCCCTCGAGGCCGAAAAATACGAAAACCCTCCTTCTTGACTTTTTTCAATACGTTGGATCTCTGGGAGTGTCACTCCCGAACCTGCTTTCGGGGGTGGCCTCGTCATTGCCGGGTCTTTGACGCCGGCATGGTCGATCGTTGCCATTTGTTCCGACGCTGTAGATCCGGCTGATACCTGCTCAGTTGGCGCCGTCGGCGCTTATTTCGGTCAGGTGGCATTTTCGGATTCCCCGGCGCAGCGTCTGACGTGCGACTCCGTTGTCTACCTGCCCGGCTTTGTCGGATTGGTGGGCTTACGGACGCCCACGAAGGACTTGACCTTCAAGTGGCAGATGGTGTACCTCATATCAGCGGCGGTGTTGTTTTCGCCGACGATTGCCCGCTTCCTCTTCGGACATTGCCGAACGGGGTGGCAGTGGTACGTGCGCACGTGCTCATGGACAACTAGTGTGGACAGCATCGCTGCCTCGACCGCTTACCTGGGCGCCACTTCGTCCGTCATGAGCGCCGTCGGTTCTGGCCTTACGGGGTCCTTCCTCGTCATGGGCGGCAATGAAGCGTTACGACTTAGCCCTGGCGCTCGCCTTAGCGGCGTGCAACTTTGTTGTGGTGTCGATTAAGGATGCGGTGTTGTTGGCCATCGGCTACACCGTTTCGACGATCTTGACGTCGCTTGCCATTCATGTGAACATGAGACGCGGAGAAGGGGACGTTGCGTTCTTTGCGACCCTCTACCTAGCCCAGTCCGTTGCCTTGCAATCGGGCAAGGGCACTCTGTCGCGTGTGATGTTCACGACTGCCATCGTCCCGACGTTTATCGGCAAGCTTTGCTTCGTCGCGTATACGTGTTGGACCCTCGAGGACGACGCTGATTACAATGGCCTGGCCGTCGCCTTCTGCGCCGTCGGCGTTAATGTTGGCGCCGCGGCCCAGGCGTTTGTTGCCTGCGCGGCTGCTGCGAAGGCCCCTCGCGCAAAAGCAGGCAGCGGCACTACCATAGTCTTACAGTGGGCTGGCGCCGTCATCGACGGTGTCGCTGAGGACGACATGCCCCTCGGGCTGCGGTTCAACGCGTCCGTGATATGCGCTGACGTCGCAGGCGTAGCGAGGGCCAACCGTTTCACGGGAGCCTTCGCCCAGGTGACTTCAGGCATCGCCGTGGGTTTGCCCGACCTCGTCGAGGTACCCGACGCGGCTGTTCCGGCTGGCGGCGGGGGACGTCCGATGGCTATTTTTCAGCCGCGCGCGGAAGCCGCTTGACACGAGATATTTGCTGGCGCAGCTCCCGTCGCTCTCGGCCGCCCTTGCTGATGATTGCATCAAGCTGTTCCATCCTCCTCCTCCTCCTCCTCCTCCTCCTCCTCCTCCTCCTCCTCCTCCTCCTCCTCCTCCTCCTCCTCCTCCCCCTCCCCCCCTCCTCCTCCTCCTCCTGCTCCACCTCCTCCTCCTCCTCCTCCTCCTCCTCCTCCCAGACTGTTGCATTCATTTGTTCATTGAGCGACCCGACGGCTCAGTCTGCGAAGGTCGCCTGGCTTCCGTGCCGACGAAGCAAGGCGTCACCTTCGCTACCCTTGGGCACGTCACAAAAGGGGCCCCGTTGGTCGCTGGTGGAGTCTTCACCATCGCGATCAGGATGGGAGCACAATTTACCGCCTCCGTCGGCACCGTTAAGCACGCCCCGAACGAGGTCGCTGGCGACAGCTGCGCGTTGCTCAGCACGTCGAACGAGCGTGTCGAGCCGTCGCTGCGGCCGGCACTCAGGTTGGAGTCTTTTATGGTGCGAGACAACAAGGCCGCTCTGCCAACCTCCAGCCGTGTTTGTACTCGATCCCTTCGGGTTGCCGAACATCAGCCTGGAGCGCATGAGCGAAGGCGTGGCTACTGTCGGCGGATTGGCCCTCGGCCCATGTTCCGCCGACTTCACTGAATCCCTCAACGTCGTAGAGGAAAAGCCTGACGCAGGGCCCCCTGTTTCGCAAGGGCGTCGGCAAGACGTCACCGCTCGGCACTTCGTGGTCCGGGCGGAGCCACGGAAGCAGGACGCGGCTCCTCGAGCGGCTCTTTGCTCTGACACTTTGGGTACCGCCATCCGCGCGCCCACATTGGTTATCCATTGGATGGCCAGTGGACCGCCGACGCGGTCGAATCCTTCCAGCACTTGGCGGACAACGACGGCTTCGGCAGCTAGTCCATCAGTCAGCTGCTGACCCGCCGGCGTCCTCGTGATTGCTTTGCAACTGCGACGACGTTGCGGCCGCCGTCTTCCTCATCATTGTTAGAGGAAAAGCTTAATGCGACACCCCACTCCCTGTTTTGCAGGGACGTCAGCAGAACGTCACCGCTCGGCACCTCGTGCTCCGGGCGGATTCACGTTGAACGCGGCCCCCCCTGCTTCGCAGGGGCGTCGGCATGATCTCACCGCTCGGCACTTTGTGATCCAGGCGGCACCATGGACCAAGACGCCTCCGCTGAGGCGCCGGACCGCCGCCCTACACTTCGTGGCCTGGGCAGGTCCGCACCAAGCCCTTCCTTGGGCATCTCACTTCCTATTTGTTCCAGTCTCCGCTCAAGATGCGGAAGGTGACGTGTTGCGTAATAAAGGTTCGCCGTCCCGCTGCATCTTGACCAACCTGCACTGCCACTCGTGGCGCCTTGGCCTCCTCCTCTTCCTCCTCCTGCTCCTCATCCTCCCTCCTCCTCCGCCTCCTCCTCATCATCCTCCTCTTCCCTCTCCTCTTCCCCCTCCTCCTCCGCCTCCTCACCATCATCACCACCAGCAGCAGCATCATCATCTTCATCAGCATCATCAGCATCATCATCATGATCATCATCAGCATCATCATCATCGTCGTCGTCATCGTCATCCTCGTTCTCCTCCTCCTTCTCCTCCTCCTCCGCCTCCGTCTCCTCCGCCCTCCGCCTCCTCCTCTTCCTTCTCCTTCTTCTCCTTCTCCTCCTCCTCATCATCATCATCCTCATCCTGCTCCTCCTCCTCATCATCATCCTCCTCGGCCTCCTCCTCCTCCTCCTCCTCCTCTCTTCCCTCCTCCTCCTCCTATTTCCTTTTCCTCCTCCTCTCCTCCTCCTATTCCTTTTTCCCTCCTCCTCCTCCTCTCCTCCTCCTCCTCCTCCTCCTCCTCCTCCTCCGCCCTCCTCCTCCTCCTCTTCCTCCTCTTCCTCCTCCTCCTCCTCCTCCTCTTCCTCGTCCTCTTCCTCCTCCTACTTCTCCTCCTCCTCTTCCTCCTCCTTCTCATCGTTCCGCGCTCGTCTTTTCTTGCTCCTCCTCCCCCTCCGCCTCCTCATCCTGTTTTCCCCTCGGCCAGGTGAACGCCAACACCATGGTGTAAGGGCCCCAGCCCCCCGTTCCGCTCCCGCAGATCTGCGCGCTTCGCTTCGCTTCGTCTCCTCCCGACCGGCCCCCCTGCCCTCTGTCGAAGGGCGTCGGGGGCGCGGCATCTGTTCGAGGAGGGGGCCGCGCCCTTACGAGTGGCACCCTACCCTCTCCCGAGGCTGACACCGCCCCTGCCCTGAGATCCTGGCGCTGCTATTTTCCACACCGGGCGTCTTCGCCCAGTTTCGGGCCCCGTGGCCATCTCCGATCGATCCAGCCCGAGAAGTAACGCAGAAGGACAGGGCGGGACCATCACAGATCGATCTGGCCCGAAAAATGCTGTGGAAAGATGGGGAGGGATCATCATAGATCGATCTGGCCCGAAAAATATAGCAGAAAGACGGGTCGGGACCATCACAGATCGATCCGGCCCGAAGAATGCCGCAGAAAGACGGGGTCCAGGGCTCTGGCCGTAATGTTCCGCGGTGCTGCGACTTTTTGTCCCGCACTCTGGGGTCACAGGGTGGGCCCTGGCCCCCTCTGCTGCTCGCGGCCCGCCCCCTGCGATGGACAACCCGCTGCTGCCCTCCGTGCTGGAGAAGTTCCCGGGGGTGGAGGCCTGGCGCACGGCTGGGCGGCGGCAGCCCTTGACTGCACGCGGCGGCGGCGGCGGCGACTTGCAGGGCAGGTGCAGGGCGAGTCTGCGGTGGGGCAGTCAGCAGCCGACTAGACGTAAGAGTGACCTTTCGCCGGAGTGACCTTTGGTGCGGGCACAGATGGGCCCCCAGATGGCCGGACGCGAAGCTGTAGCAGCCGCTAGCGCGCCTGGGTTTGGCCTCCCCGCGGCCCCCCAAAAGCTGCGCACCACAGGTCACTCTTACCCAGGGTCACTCTTACGTGTAGCCGAAGCAGCCGCGTGCACGCGCAAGAGGGCGAGCTCAGCGCGCTCGGCTGCGCTGCCGCGCTGCGCCGTCCCAGGGGCCTGCCGGAGTGGCAGCAGCAGCTGTCCAGCGGGTGCTGCTTGGCGCACGCGCAGTCTGCAGTGGGGCAGGCAGGACGCGTCGCAGTGGAGGGGAGGCAGGACGAATCCGGGCGGGGGGTGCAGGAGGAGTCGCGGGAATCGGGTCCGGCCAGTGCCTCGCTCGGAAGGGAGTCGGGACGGTTTCGGGGGATATATTTCAGGTCTCCTCGGAGGCGCTGAAATAGCTTTCGAAAGCTCAGGGTGGTGTTCGACGGTTTGGGTGGCCTGGGTCATGGGAAAAGTTCGGGAGCCTGCGGAGGTCTAGGTACTTGTTATTTGATCATGGCGTTGTTTGTTTTTCTTTGCTTGGTACCTTTTGGAGTACTTTGAAACCTTGACGCAGACCGTGTCCAAGGAGGAGGATCGGCCCGTCGAATTTCAACAAGGCCTTGGGAGGGGCCCAGAAACCGCCAGGGGGGGGTTGATCAATCCTTCATCGGCTGCGCCTCCTCATTCTTTGTCCTCACCTTGTCCGCCTCCCCGTCCTCCCCAACAGGAGAAAGAGGACCACCAGGTGTGCCTCATCGTCCTGTTGTCTTATCCCCCCACATCGTCCTCCCCATCGCTCGCTAGAGGATCCGATAGATCTGAAGAAAGAGAAGGAGGAGGATGAGGAGGAGAAGAAGAAGGAGGATGAGGGGGAGGAGGAGGAGGAGGAGGAGGAGGAGGAGGAGGAGAAGGAGGAGGAGGAGGTGAAGGAACACACAGCCAGAGCGTCGAGATACATAACACCCCGCATATGCGGATAAAAGTGAGGTGGCGGCGGCAAGGATGAAGCCTGCGCGTGAATACGCGGTGTCAGAGAAAGCAGAAGCAGCTGCAGGGCTGGGGAGGAGGCAGGGAGAGCTCAAGATGAGCAGGAAGGGAAGGCGGCAGGGTCTGGGGGAGGTCTTTTCAGAGGAGCGGGAGACAGCCACTGCCCGGCGCCTACATCCGCGACGTAAGGTTCCGCCACCGCTCCTGCCAGAGGGACGCGCTGAGCTGCATTAGTGCGCGCGCGCCCCCAGAATCCTGCTTCGCTCGCCTCCTCGGCGCTGATCTGTATGCCCATGGCAGCAAGTGCATCTCGCACCACTTTCTCCCGCGCGGCGGCTCGCTCTGGAGGCGCCACCGGACGTTGTCGCCAGCAGCGCAGCATCGTGTTGCAGTCGCGCGCATACAGGCCGTTGCCGCCAGGGAGTCGGACCCGCACAGGGCACCACATGGCCGAGGTTGCCTTTTGGTTATCTTGGACCCGCACTGGCGCAACACAGCAAGAACACGCACGGAATGATCCAGGACGGGCTATATGCTCGGCAAGGCCGCTAGGGCCACGGGGAAAATTCCGCACGCGATGGACCCTGTCAGTTCTCGGTTTAGCTTTCGCCTCGTGCTTCGCTTTCGGTGCCACGGTATATGAGGAAAACGCTTGGGCCGAAATGGCTACGGTCGTTTTGCGTTGCCCGCCCGCTTGAGTTGCCTTCAAGCACTGTAGACATGTAGTATTGCCCCCATGTATGTCCCCCCATACACACACGTGCTGCCCCCATGTAGTGTCCCCGAGTACTGCCCCCATGCACTGCTCCCAAGTATTGCCCCCATGTTTCGCCTCCAGGTATCGCCCCGATGTATTGCCCCAAGTATCGCCTCCTTGTTTTGTCCCAAAGTGTTGTCCCAGGAGGAGGAGCCCTCCGTCCAGCCACGCGCGCGCAGGGAGTAAGTAAGACCGTTCGGGCCCCCTGATTCTGAACAAACACTATCGGTTCGGACGGGGCTTGGCGTTTTTTAGGGGGGGTCCCTCTTCCTCCTATTATTGCCCCTCCTCCTCCTGCTCCTCCTGCTCCTCCTCCTCGCGCACTAGCGACAGACACGGGTAGGAGGGGGCATCGCACACGTCGCAAAGTACCTCCTCTTCTTCCTTCTCCTCCTCCTCCGTCTCCTCCTCATCATCATAAGCATAAGCATAGTCAGTACCATCGCCATCGTCGTCGTCATCATCGTCATCATCGTCACCATCATCATCATCATCATCATCATCATCATCATCATCATCATCATCATCATGCTCATCTACTTCCTCCCACTGTCCCCCCTTCCCATCTGCTCCTAATCGTTCTCATCATCCTCATCTTCTGGCGCCCCTGTCTGCGTGCTGGTCCGAGGCCAGCAGCCTGCCCTGGCCGCCAGATGCGAACGACTGGGACCTCAAGGCTTGCTGCGGCACAGCCTTGCCTTCGTTCGTGATCTCTCATATCGACTTCCCCCCCCTCCTACCTCCTCCTCCTCCTCCTCCTCCTCCTCCTCTCTCCTCCTCCTCCTCTCCTCCATCCTCCTCCTCCCGCCTCCTCCTCCTCCTCCTCCTCCTACTCCTCCTCCTCCTCCTCCTCCTCCTCCTCCCCTCCCCTCCTCCTCCTCCTCCTCCTCTTCCTCCTCCTCGTCCTCCTCCTCCTCCTCCTTCCTCCTCCCTCCTCCTCCTCCTCCTCCTCCTCCTCCTCCTCCTCCTCCTCCTCCTCCTCCCTCCTCCTCCTCCTCCTCCCCATCCTCCTCCCCATCCTCCTCCCCCTCCTCCTCCTCCTCCTCCTCCTCCTCCTCCCTCTCCTCCCTCACCCTCCTCCTTGTCCTCCTCCTCGTTCTCCTTCTCCTCCTCCTCGTCCTCCTCCTCCTCCTCTTCATCCTCTTGTCCCTCATCCTCCTGATCCCTCCTCTTCTACCTCCTCGCCCAGGGGAGGAGAAGGAGGAGGAGGAGGAAAAGGAGGAGCACCAGGAGATGGAAGGAGGAGGAGGAGGAGGAGGAGGAGGAGGAAAAGGAGGAGGAGAAGGAGGAGCAGAAGCAGGGAGGACAGGAGTAGGAGGAGTGGCAGGACAAGGCGGAAGGGGAGAAGGGAGACGGTGATAATGTTGTTGATAGGTATTATGATGATGGTGATGATGGTGATGATGATGATGATGATGATGATGATGATGGTGATGATGATCATGATGATCATGATGATGATGATAATGAGGAAGAGGAGGAGGAGGAGGAGGAGGAGGAGGAGGATGAGGATGAGGATGGTGATGACGATGTTGATGGTGATGATGAGGAGGAGGAGGATGGTGATGGTGATGGTGATGGTGATGCCGATTGTGATTGTGATGGTGCTGGTGATGATGATGATGGTGATTGTGATGGTGATGATACTGATGATGGTGCTAAGGTGATGGTGATGATGATGATGATGATGCTGATGATGGTGCTGATGCCGATGGTGATGATGATGGTGATGATGTTGATGATGTTGATGATGATCATCATCATGATGGTGATGCTGGTGATGGTAATGGTGAGGGTGATTGTGAGGGTGGTGGTGATGATGGTGGTGGTGATGGTGATGGTGATGCCAATTGTGATGATGATAATGTTGAAGATGGTGATGATGATGATGATGATGATGATGATGATGATGATGATGATGATGGTGGTTGTGATGATGATAAGGATGATGATGGTGGCGGTAATGGTGCTGATGATGATGGTGATGGTGTTGAAGATGACGATGATGATGACGATGATGATGATGATGAAAATGAAGGTAAAGACGATGGTGATGGTGATGACGATAAGGATGGGGAGGATGAGGAGGATGAGGAGGATGAGGAGGATGAGAAGGATGAGGAGGATGTGGATGTGGATGTGGATGTGGATGTGGATGAGGATGAAAAGGAGGAGGAGGAGGAGGAGGATGATGGTGTTGGTGATAGTGATGGTGGTGGTGGTGGTGGTGATCGTTCTTTGTAATCCAGAAGCAGAATAGGAAGCAGAATGAAAGCGGCCAGATACGGCCTGCCAACGGTGCCCTTCCGATTCTGCGCGCCGACTGCACAAGGGCACCGATGGCAAGCAAAGCATGTGTATCTGCCCTGCTTCCATTGGATTCCTCTTGGCCCGGCCTTCTCTGGGTCCGACCGTTCACCAGCCCTCCGCGGGCGGCCCGCCGCCGCCATCCGACCCTCCGCCAGCAGCGGGGCATATCCTGGAGCCAGACGCACCCTCGGCCGAGGACTGCGCCTCCCGGCTCCCGCCCCCTCCGCCGCGCGCGCAGCCGTCCGTGGAGCAGCGCGCGCCCTCGGCTCAGGAGCGCGTCGCCCTGCTCCAGCAGCGCCGCGCCGGGGGCACCGCCGCCGGGCGGGCGTCGCTTCCGCAGCTGCTCCGCTCGCTCGCGGGCCCGCTGCTCGTGGAGGGGCTCCGCTGGCTGGCGAACGGGCTCGCGCGCTGCGGCCGCCGCGGGGCCCAGCGGCCCGGCGCGTCCGCGCCCGAGGGCAGCCGCCCGGCGCAGTCCGCGCCGCCGGCTGGGAGCCGTACGCCCCTGCAGCACGCGCAGCCGCGAGCCGGCGGCGTCCATCAATGATCGAGAGTGGTGATTTCACCGTGGAATAGCTATGCTTGGCAAACCGGCGTTGCTGCATAGTCGCACAGTGGTGGCTGTGTCACAACTTCGCCCGACGGACTGCGGGGTCGTCACCCGAGACGACGAGCTCTGCGTGGAGGAGCTGGGAGCAGGCTACACCGACATCTGGGACCCAGAATCCGAGGCGAGTCCCATGGCGGCGACAGGAGGAGGCGGACAGGGCCACATTCTTGACGTCGGCGGCCAGGCAGAGTCACTGCGCTGGCGAGGAAGCGGAACGGGGCTGCCGTGAAGCAAAGTGTGCCACCGTGCAAGCCGGGAGGCGAAGACGACGAAGCGACGGCCGAGAGGAGGAGGAAGCGGGCCGGGGGGGGACAGGGCCGCACACCACCGAAGAGCGAGCCGGTCACCTGCGGCCAGACACGCAGCGGCCGCGTCCAGGGCCAGTGGTCCCCGGCTGGGCCCGCGGGCCACACCCCGTGCCAGTGCCGCGGCAGCGCCACGCCCTGGTTCTCGGCCCACTCGAAGACGTCGCGTCCAGCGGCCGCAAGCCCTCGGAGGAAGGCCGCACATTGGACCGCCGACGGCCTTCCAGGGTCGAAGGTGACGCGCCGCCTGTCCCCGTCCTGCGCCGCGCAGGAAGCGTTCCCACCACGGACAAACGCAGGCCCAGCCTCGCGTTGGAGCCACTTGCCGCAGTTGCCAGGCCTCTTGCCAGCAAGGGCTTGGCTGCGTCCCCTGCCGCGGCTGTCTCGCGACGCCCCGGCCCATCGCTGTGCGCCCCGCGGGTTATCGCAGCTGGGGGCCGCCCTGGTATGTCACAAGAACAGAGGTCCCAGAGGGTGAGGACGCCAGGGCGTGGTGGGGGGCGGGGTGGGAGTCGGGGTCGATGCTGGGCGAAAAAGAGGGCGAGGAGTTACATGGTTTGGGGTCCCACGAACAGAGGATGCTGGGGCGTGGTGGAAGGCGGGGCGGATGTCTTCGATCGGCGCCGTGAGAGAAATTGCCTGGTGGGGGAGTCCCAAGATAGGAGGTCCCAGAAGGTGAGGATACCGGGGCGTAATGGAGAGCGAGGTGGGGATCGAGGTCGATTCCGGTCAAGAATTGCATGTCTGGGGGTTCCAACCGGAGGGGTACCGAGGGCGGGTTTGGTCGCACACGCTTCTAGGGGTCGGCGGATTTCCCTCCGAACCCTCCTCATCATGTTCATCATTATGCCCTCCTTGTTCCTACGTTCCTTTTTCCCCTTCTTTCTCCCTTTCTCCTCGCCCTGACATGGCTCCTCCTCCTCTGTATCCTCCTCCTCATCTTCCTCTATTACGTTTCCTCTCTCCTTCCTCCTCCATGTTACCCCCGTCTTTCTCGTCCTCCTCGTCATATATAGCTGTTGTAGGCTCTGGTGGCCACAATGGTGAGACGCTGTCTGGGTAAAGTTTGATGAACCCGGCAACCCACGCGAACGAAAGGCACAGTAAAGACGAGGATTGACGGACAAATACAGCCGAGGGTTCCATACCCTTCCCTCCCCCGTTCCCCCTTTCTGTTTTCTTTCCATCTTCCACTTCCCCTCCCTATTCTGTTCATCGCTTGGCAGCCATACGATGCTGAGCACTTGGCGTTGAGTTCCTCGAGATCCTTTCGCCCGCTCTTTACTGCTCCTCCTGGGCTGCTCCCTCACGAAGCCGACCAAAGATCGAATTGGAGTCTCGGCCGCATGCGGGAGGGAGAAAACTCACAGACACAATTCAGCGTCGCTCCCTGGGAAGATCTGGAAAAACATGGGGAACTGGGGGGGGGGAAGACAAAAAACCTAGAAAAAATATGGGAAAATAGGGGGACTCCTTTTATCTGTGTGTATTTATTTATGTGTGTGTCCCAGGGCCCCCTTCCGCGTAGGGCGTTCCAAATCAACATCCGCGGGGGGAAGGGGGCGCCATTCTCCGTCCGTGGAGAGCTTGGCTGGACGGTGCCGCCGGAGCTCCTGCGCGGCGGAGGCGAGAGTGGACCTCGGAAGCCTCGAGACGGGGGTCAATGCCAACGGGGGTCAGCCAGGGCGCAGACCCCCTCCTCCTCCTCCTCCCCCTCCTCCTCCTCCTCCTCCTCCTCCTCCTCCTCCTCCTCTCCTCCTCCTCCTCCTCCTCCTCCTCCTCCTCCTCCTCCTCCTCCTCCTCCTCCTCCTCTTACTCCTCTTGCCCTATTCAACCACACCCACCCCTTCGCAAGCAGTACCGCTCCTCATGAGGATCATGCGAAGACCCCCTCTGACCGACCCGGGTTAGGGAGCCCGCTCGTGGCCGCGAGGCGGCCGCGCCTATGGGCTGGCCCGGGTTTGCGAGGACCTGCGCTGCAGTTTTTTGTTCCCTGCACTGCAGTTTTTGGTTTCCTGCTGACCCGGGTTTGGATTGACCCGGGTCAGAAGATCCCCGAGTGGAGAGTGGAGAGAGAGAGAGAGAGCGAGAAAAAAGAATGATGAAGAGAGAGAGAGAGAGAGGGAGAGAGAGACCGTGTGTGAGAGAGAGGGAGAGCGATTTGGGGCACCAACTGGCGTCCCCCCGTGCAGCTGCCGGAGGTGTTCCACAGTGTCACGGACATCGGGTATGAGGCAGTTGTGGGTGAGCGTCTGGATTTCAGAATGAGCGCCCTCCATCCTTGCAGCTGCTGGACACATGAATTGCACATTCGGAGAAGGTGGGGGGGGGGGTTCTAGGCGATTGCCGGAGCCTGAACCGTCCTACAGTCGATAAAACGTGGGGGCTTCCAAGTTCCGAGGTGATGTTCGGAAGTTCAAGGCTTGACCCCAAGTGGGAAACTTGCTTCGGTTTCGGTTTGTGTCGCGCGTTCGGGCAAGGCGATTCTACGTGGGGGCAACGATGTGTCGGCCGAAGTTAGGGCCAAGTCAAATAACAGGTACGTGCCCCCGTTTCGCGGGGCCCACAGGGTTGTGGTTGTCCAGTGGGTTGTCCTGTGGTTGTCTTGTGGCTTTTTTTTCGGATGGTTATCCTGTCGGTTGTCTCATGAGTTGTCTCGTGGGCTGTCTACTGGTTACCCCATGGGAAATGCAAAGCGAAACGCAATTTCGGATGCAACTTTGGCAGCCAGTCATGCACACGCCAGGTGGAAAGACAGGTATAGCACATATTGCAGCAAGATGTATCAATCGGTAGGTAGACGGATATCTAGATCCAGCACAAATCGGCTTGCATGTTCAAAGCCAGACGCGGGGGGCAACGATGTGTCGGCCGAAGTGAGGGCCAAGTCGGACATCAAGTTTCTCTAGGGGGCTCGCGGTGTATCGCGGGTTGTACCGTGAGATGTCCAGTGGTTGTTCCGTGGGTTGTCCCATTTGTTGTCTCTTGAGTTGTCCCGTGGTTGTCACGCGGATTGGTTTTCGGTGTGTTGTCCCACATGTTGTCTCGTCGTTTATCTTGCTGTCCCGTGTGATATTTCGTGGGCAGTCCTTTGGTTGTCCCATGACTTGTTTGTGGGTTGCCCCGTGAGTTGTCTAGTCGTTGTCCCGTGGGTTGTCTCGTGGTTTGTCCAATTGGTGTTCCGTGGTCGTCTCCCAGGTCGTCCCGTGGGTTGTCCCGTCGGTGTTCCCATGGTTGTCTCATGGGTTGTCCCGTGGTTGTTCGGCCGATTGTCTTCTGTTTGTCCCATGTGTTGTCCAATGAATTGCCCCGTTGGAAATTACAGTCGGACTTGCACGCCTAAGTGCAACCTAGATATATAAGGATGAATGGCAGCATATAGTAAGGCAGGAAGGTCACATTTCGTAGGATATATTTATTGTTGGCCAGACAGCTGCATTCCAACTCAAAAGTCAAATTCGTTTGTGGACACATATATATAGTATCGGAGTGTGGGGGTGAGATCGATGTGAAACGGACACCCCCCACCGGAAAAATGTTGTCGGTTTCGTGTTCGTGTCGTGCGTGCGGGCGTGGCGAATTTGCGTGGGCGGGCGAGAGGAGTATATCCGCCGCTGCTACGGCGGAACTGAGCCAAATGACTCTCCCCCCCAAGGTTGGCCGACAGTGGTTGCGGGGTGTCTCGTGGTGTCCTCGTGGTGTCCCGCCGCTGCTAGGACGAAACCTGGCCAAATGATTATTCCCTCCCCCGGTGGCCAGCGGTGGCTTGGGGTGTCCTGTGGGGTCCCGTGGTGTCCCGTAGTGTCTCGTGGTTCTCCGTACGGTGTCCCGATGGTGCCCCGGTGGTATTCCGATGGTGCGATGCTGTCCACATGGTGGCATCACGGTGTCTAGGTAGTAAGATTGATAGTGAGATCGATTGCGAGAACGATAGAGCAATCGAGGACGAGAACGATACTGAGATCGATAGAGGGATCGATAGTGAGATTCAGTGCGATATTGGTAGTGAGATCGATCGTGAGGTCGGGTGTGAGATCGAGTGTGAGATCGATAGTGAGATCGGTAGATAGATCGATAGTGGAACAGATGTAGTGGAACAGCACCGTCAACGCATCTTGGGTTTACGACGGTTTTCCTCCATCTCATCCCCCTCCCTATCCTCCTCTTGACCCTCCTCCTCATCCTCCGCCCCGTCACCAGTCCTCCGAGCTCCTGACTGATCTTCCAGAACCTTCATTCGGGTTTAATGTTTGTACTTCTGTCTTGGACTCGCTGCCCGACTCGCTGCCGGGCCGTTTCTTTGACCCTTGAGCTTGTCCTGGCCCTTCGTGGCCCTCCCCGACCGTCGGGCCCCAACGGGCTCAGCGCTCACCTCGGCAGCCAGGGCTTGACCCTTCTCTCGAGGACAGCCGATCCAATCCTCCCCCTCCCCCCATCCCCCTCCTCTGCCTCCCTCCACCCCGACCCTACACCTACGCCTCCCTCCCCCCCCCGCCCCTCTCCCCTCCGCCCCCCTACCCCTCCGCCCCTCCCCCCGCCCCCCTCCCTCTGCGCCTCCCTCACCCCCGCCCCTACCCCCCGCCCCTCCCCCCCCGCCCCGTCCCCCTCCCCGCCCCTCCCCCCCCCCCCCCCCGCCCTCCCCCATACGCATCCCTCCCACCCGCCCCTCCCCCTCCGCCCCTTCCCCCCCCCCCGCCTCTCCCCCTCAGCCCCTCCCCCTGCCAGACACGCCGGGCGGACCCCCCTTCGCTGGCACAGGGCCTCGAGATGTTCGTGGGCAGCGGCGGCTTCCTCAAGCCGAAAAGGCGGGCAGAGGCGGCGCCCCGCACCCGCGGACTTCCCTCTGCCCGGTCAACTCGCCTCCTCCTCCTCCTCCTCCTCCTCCTTCTCCTCCTCCTCCTCCTCCTCCTCCTCCTCCTCCTCCTCCTCCTCCTCTTCCTCCTCCTCCTCATCCATTCCTTCTCCTTATAAATAACTTCTCCCTGTCGCACCCCGAGGCCAGTTTGTAAGGCGGGCTGGGCATTTCGCCTGAGACTTCCTTACCATCTATGACCCTGAAGCTTAAAAATTGAACACAGCTTCACAGATGGAGGGCGTGTGGTGTTCAAAATGTGGCTCCCGCCTTAGCGCCGCGCACACTCGTTTTGAACATTTGCAAGGGTTCCACGGATTGAGGGCGTGTCGTTTTCAAATGTGGTTCTCGCCTCAGCGCCGCGCACAGTTGTTTGAAACATTTGCAAGAGCTCCACGGATTGAGGGCGGATGGCTTTCAAAATGTGGTTCTCGCTTTAGCGCCACACACATTCGTTTCAAAAATTGCAATAGTTTCACGGATGCAGGGCGGGTCGTTTTCAAAATGCGGTTCTCGTTGTAGCGCCGCGTACATTCGTGTTAAAAGTTTGCCAGGGTTTCACGGATGGAAGGCGGTTCCTTTTCAACATGTGGTTCTCGCTTTAGCGCCGCGCACATTCTGGATACAAAATTGCAAGAGTGCCACGGGTTCCCGTGATCGACGTACTAGAAATGGTGTTTTGGAAAGATTCACGATTTTGAGGGTTCAAGGTTAGGATGACTCGCGGAGTTGAGGTCCCAGGAATGGCGTTCTGGTGCGATTCAGGATCGTCGCGACGCAACAGTCAGGTTCCCCCGTGGCGTTGGAGTACCGAGAATAATGTGGTGGCATGCTTCAGGGTCTTCAAACGGTTGTCTTCCAACGAGGCAGGTCCCTCTGTGGAAGTGAATCTTTGTATGGGGCCTATAAGAGGGAGCTTGGGGGGAGGGTTTCTTCCAGCATCGTTGGTGACTATTGGCTTTACACTGGTTCTCCTCCTCCTCCTCCTCCTCCTCCTCCTCCTCACCCTCCTCCTCCTCCTCCCGTCCTCCTCCTCCTCCTCCTCCTCCTCCTCCTCCTCCTCCTCCTCCTCCTCCTCCTCACTCCTCCTCCTCCTCCTCCTCCTCCTCCTCTCCTCTCCTCCTCCTCCTCCTCCGCCCCAGTCCAGTGCCCAGGCGTCGCGAAGGAGGGCGTTAAAAGGGGGGCGCAGCAAGCCCCTGAGTCGGGGCTGCTGGGGCTGCTGGCACGTAATACTTGGGGGCCAAACAGGGAACCTTCTGCGCCCCAGGGACTAAGCTCGAGCGCCAGACGTGGCGGACCCTCTTGGCGCTGCTGGGGGAGCTGAGAGGCTTTCCGGCGAAGACCCCGACTCAAGGAGCCAAGGGCCAGCGTAGGCAAGCGAGAAGACCCTAGATGGGCACCATGGTTCACACCATTCAGCAGAGCACGGATGATTTTGTCGAAGTTCGAGCTAGGATGAAACGTGCACGGCTGCGTCGAACGACACCTGACTGGAGTTTCCTTGGCGGAGTGTGGCATTCGATGATCTAGCCCTTTGCATATAGGTATTCGAGGCATGCCGCGTTGGAGGTGGAGGATGGTGATAGCGACTGGCACCTCTGTGGCATTGACAAGTGTTTAACATAAATTGCGTGGCGGTGCGCCACCATGAGGGAACCCCCGTGCAGTGGCAGCAGGGCAAAGCGTTTCTCTTGACAAACCTCATGGTGAGAGCGAGTGCAATGAAAAGAGGCTCGTGCATTCGTTTGACGCGTTCGGTAAAATATTTTACGGTGTCTCGTGGAACAGGTACCTGGCACTTCCGAGTGCTGCGGATCGCGCGCATTTTTTCGGGCATCTCGAAGAAGTCGACGTGAGGAAGCCGTTCTTGCCCAGAGTGTCAATGCTGCGCGCTTGCACGGAGTCGCATAGGCCGCCTCACAACACTGCGCGACGCCACGAATGCGTTTCACAGCGTGCTGCACGAACACTTGCATGCGCACGTTGACCAGCACTGTGACGAGCTCGGAGCGGAGCTGCTAAACCCGAGACGTCGATTCGCCCAAGTGTCGACCGATTACAAGGACGGGACGTTGGTCGTGGGCACATGGCCGGGGACGCTACTTGGTGATATTACCGACGCGTAGACCTATTTCGTGAATCAGATGCTCACAGTAATTTGTTCAAGTGCCATGGCTTCGAAATTGCTTGACTGGCAGTCCTAGTGACAGGGTGCTTCTGAATCAGCAGTCTCGCGAGTTCATACATATATCGCTCTCGAGTTTCTCGGACGGGATTGCGACAACGTCCGCGGGGGGGGTGTCATGCATGTCGCCGACGCACCCAGTCGCAGCACGACTCGTCGGCAGCGGAGCTGCAAAGGATAGGCGTAACATTGAATGGAGACCAGCAAGCATCGCTGGCGCAGCTGGTGGGGAAGGGAATTCAAGACGACATGAGACGACTTCTAGGGACGTGAACGGAATGAAGAGGGGATGGTCAGGAGCGACGCATCGCATTCTGGCGGCAAACTGCATTTTCAAGGAAGCGCGAAGCCAGAAGTCGAGTTCCGCGTAAGGCGCGCGAAGCAAGCATCCGCAGTATTAGGCAGTTTCGGTCGAAACTCACGAATGAGAGGTGGAGGACGGCGGTATTCAAGAGCACTGTGGAGGGATCATTGTGGCCAGACGTCATCGCTGACCCCATAGGCGAACCCGATTTGCAGCGCTTGGAGAGGGTCCACGCGGACCTTGCTAGGCGTGCACTACGAGGGAAAGGATGTCTGACGGTTGCTGCCACCAGCGTGGGCCCGAAGATACCGCACCCCCCCCCGCCCCCCCCCCCCAAAAAAAAAAAAATGAGATCAGAAACGATATGAGACTACGTGCCCCGCATTGTACCTTGAGAGCTTGGAGGATTCGCTGGTGGCAGGAGCAAGTTAGGACGCAAGAGAAACATCTTCTTGCGTTGGACATGCAGTTCGGGAACGCGGCGTTAAACACGCGGAATTCATGCGACGGGCACGGGCATGCTGGCGTCGCGCCAGGAACCAGCTCTATCCATCACTGGTGAACAAAGGTTCCTAGCCAAGCTTCCTACGGTGGACGAGAAGTGCATTAGTTGACAATTTCTACACTACGTGTTGGTACACAGCTGAGGGATTTCACGAGGTGTGTCAAAAATCCAAGGGCTCGGTCACCATCCACTCGCACGCGGTCGCTCCCCACATCGCGCGAGCTGCGGTCGCTACAGCTCGCGTCATGTGCGACGGCCAGGGCGCACCTGGTCACGCATTCCCCCGGGTGAAACAACGCATAATAATCAGGTGCATTAGCATGATGTGGTCATCGCTATCGATGCTCAGCGGCATCGAGTTACCCGATACCAAGGTTACCGTCCCAGTATCGCTGCTTCCTGAAATGCCGCGGCGTCGGCGCGCGCCGAGCAGTTCGGATCAGCTTGCCCAGGAGACGCTGGGGCACCACCTCAAGGATGGGGCGCGAAGTGTGTGAAGGCCGAGAGCACGGAGGACAAAGACAAGCTCAAGTGGTCTTGAAGTTGGGAACGATTGCGCACCTGAAGATCCGCCTTCTTCGGAGCGGCGCGCACGTCGCTGTGCGAGATCAGCACGGACGGTATTTTGGGACAGGTGCTCGGGAAGGTGACTACTAGGGAGTACCTTCCACGGGCGCGGGGAAGGAGCGGACATTGCCTCGGACCGCCAGACACGTTCTTGCGCACAGCGGCTGGCTTCACTTCCATCGAAACTGCCCCGGAGTCCTACGAGGCCGACTTGCAGCAGCACCCCGACAAGCCCGAGCCAGACAGCAGGGGAGCGCAGCACACAGAGGGCCTGTTTCGGAGTGAGACAGTGCTCGACTGCAAGGGAAAGAGGCCCATGATTGCCATGGAAGACGAGAAGTGGGAGCGTGCAATCCTGACCCCGGTCGGGTTCGCGCCCGCCTGGGCACTTCGAGTTGGAGGGGCAGAACATACTCGACATGCCTGCGCAGGCAGCCTGCGCGCCGTTGCATGTTCGGACCTTTAAGCACGCACATGGCGCTACACCCCAGACGCGAGAGCCAGGCTGGAGGTTGCAGATCAAGAGTTTATCCTTCTTTGCGCGAACTGTCGGTTTCTAGGGGTGCAGGGGGGGCGGAGCGACAGCCTTGTTTAATAGGCAGTACAGTCGGTGCCGAAAGCCGTCAAAGCTGATGATATTTTGACGATGGCAGGCCGCGCCATGAAGTTTTTAATGCCTCACCGTCCCTACGCATCGAGACAGTAGCTGCGCTCTGCGGTTTTGTGCGCGGGGGGGCGTCCCTCCTGCTGTCGTTTCGCACCCCTCTCCTCTCGCCCGCCCCGCCCCTCCTGGGCCGCTGGCTTCTCTTCCTCCCTATCGGGGGCCATCCCTTGCTGAGGGCCGCGTGAGCCACTTGAGGATGCCTGCTCGTAGGCCGTTCGCCGGGCATTGGCCCCTCGTGGTCTTCCGCATCGCTGCTGCTTGCTGATAAGCCCCGCTCGTACTTCTTCGGCATGGGCATGGGGCTACGCCGCGTGTGCCCCAAGGCCAGAGCGGTGCCGAGCTTACAGATGCAAGGTGGCCACTCCACAATATGTCGTAGTCCGAACCGATATTGGACTCTGCCGGAGCGCCGCCGCCGCCGCCGCCTCCTCCTCCTTCCCCTCCTCCTCGTGGTGGATCGCTGGCCTTCTGGCTGCTCCGTACCACCATTACCGCCCGGTGTCGCCCAAAGTGGGTGGGACCGCTACGCATGCTGAAGCCCTGGCCTTGGTGGCGGCGGCTCGTCTGGCCACGCGACTCCCTCTGCACCGTGGCCAGCGGACGTTTCTTCGTCGGTCAACGCTCTTCGCAGTGGTGAAGCTGGCTCGACAGGAGCGCGACCGTCTCCCAACAGACACAGGTGAGGAAAACTGTGAGCCTATGCCTGAACCGTCTTCATTTGATCAGTCTGTACAGTCGGACCCATCAGTGAGCCCTGCGGGCCCTTCTCTCCCGTCTGACCCGCTCACTCGACTAAGGTGACCAGGGTCTCCGCCGTGCCCGGTTGTGGGTCTGGCGTGCTTCTTGGGACCGGTCCCCTGAACCCGCGGATTCTTGAGCATTCTGGAGGCGCTTGGGGGTCTCTTCCTCCTTCGATGTTTGGGCCGTTTGAGCCTCCTTCCCCTTCCTCCCCTTCTGACCCCGATAGCGCCCAGATGTGCCATTTTCAGTTTGTCGATTATGCGATGCCAAGGAGCATCATACCCAGCAGTTGTCAGTTCACCCCTGCACAGCGCCACCTGGTTGAGGAAGGCGGCCTGCGCGCCAGGAGCCGTGGCTAGCAAGGAAGACAGGCCCCTCTGCTACGCTCGGCCTGCTTCCCCTCCTCCTCCTCCTCGACCTCCTCCTCCTCCTCCTCCTCCTCCTCCTCCTCCTCCTCCTCCTCCTTCCCATCCTCCGCCTCCTCCTCTCTCCTCCTCCTCCTCCTCCTCCTCCTCTCCTCCTCCCTTCCTCCTCCTCCTCCTCCTCCTCCTCCTCCTCCTCCTCTTTCCTCTCCTCCTCCTCCTCCTCCTCCTCCTCCTCCTCCTCCTCCTCCTCCTCCTCCTCCTCCTCCCCTCCTAATCCTCCTCCTCAACATCCTCCCTTTCCTTTTCCTCCTTTATTTCCTCTGTAGCTGTATTCGTGGGGGAGTATTCAGTGACACGTTCGGAGAGCCTCCACCTTCCGCCGTGCAGGATTGCTTGGATAATTCATTGTCTTGCCATCGTCAATTCGCATCGTGAAGGAAGCAACGGAAGGGGGAAGGAGTAGGAAGAGGAACAGGGAGTGAGGAAGACGAGGAACAGCAGGGTGAGGAGGACAGGGGAATGAGTAGGAGAATTGCGAATATGGAATCAGGATCAAGAGGAGGAGAAGGAGGAGAGAAAGGAGGAAGAGGGAGGAGCAGAAAACGGGGGGGAAACAAAAAAGTAGCAGGAACAAGTATTGAGGAGGGGGAGGAGAGAAACGAGGAAAAGGACGAGAAGATGGAGAGTGGGTGATGGACGGGCACAAAGATTAGAAGGATCAGCACAGAAGGGGGTAAGAAGAGAAGGCCTGTGAGAGAGATCTACCAGTCCGAGGCGTCCTCTCAAGGCCACGGCTCACTTGAAGCCACGGGCGGTAAGGGCAGCGTGAAGCAGCAGCACGCGAAGGCGCGAGGCGAGGCGAAGGGAAGCCGAGGGAAGGAACAGGACGCGAGGAAACGAGAAGTGCAGGGCCGCGGCGCGGGATGGGAGGGGGCGGGAAGCGAGGGGGGGGCAGGGAGGGAAACGCAGGGGGGAGCAGGAGAGAAGCTGGGGATCCGATGCGGGAAGAGGAAGAGACGGAGAGGAGCAGGGGCTAGACCAGAGGCCGAGCTGCTCTGGAAGCGTGCTTTGCTCGTCCGTCATCGCCGCCGCCGCCGCCTACAGCGTTGTCGTCGTCGTCTTCGTCGTCACCGCCGCCGATCTGGCAGGCGCCGAAGCCCGCGCCAGCGCCGGCGCCGCCAGCTGCTGGCGGCCCCGCCCCGGCCGCCGCAGCTGCCTCTGCGCCAGGGGCGCCGGCGGAGAAGGGCTACCCCGCCGGGAGAGCCGCGCCAGCGCCAGCGCGGGGCGGCCAAGGCCACGGCGACAGTGAAGGTTAACTTCCTTTCCTCCTCCCTCCGTCCCCTCTTTCCCCCTCCGTCCTCTCCCTCGGTCCTCTGGCCTCCCCCTCCGTCCTCTCTTTCATCTCCTCCGTCTACCCTCTCCCCCCGCTCCTGCCCCCACCGCTCCCCTCCCCATCTTCTCGCCTCTCTGGTCCCTCGCTCCTTTTCCGCTCTCCTCCTCTCCTCCCCTTCCTCTCCAGCTCGTCTTCCTCTTCTCCTCCTCATCTCATCCTTTTCCTCTTCCTCCTGAGCCTTGAGTCCTGAAGGCAGGAAAGTCGTTCAGACGTTGCCCCCCCTTCCCAGGACCTGTCGGCCCTGGGGAGGGTCAAAATTGACAGCCAGGTGCTGGTTGGCACCGGCTGTGGCGAAGAGATCATATGTAAAGGTAAGACAGACAAAAGACAGACACGGAGGAGGGAGGAAGGAGAGAGGAACCTCATCAAACATACCATAACCTCAAGAGAGGGAGAGAAGGAAATGACGGCGGCGGCAGGGAGGCGGTGTGGCGGCAACGCGGTGGGGGATTTCCACGCTCGCCAAGGCGGAAGGCTCAAAGGTCTCGCCCCCTGCTCATAGTTACCCTCCTCCGCCCCCTCCTTCTCCTCCTCCTCCTCCTCCTCCTCCTCCTCCTCCTCCTCCTCCTCCTCCTCCTCCTCCTCCTCCTCCTCCTCCTCCTCCTCCTCCTCCTCCTCCTCCTCCTCCTCCTCCTCCTCCTCCTCCTCCTCCTCCTCCTCCTCCTCCTCCTCCTCCTCCTCCTCCTCCTCCTCCTCCTCCTCTCCCACTCATCCCTTTCTCCATGCTTCCCTTCCCCCCCTTCTTGCCCTGCATGTGGGCCGCGTCTCACTGTCACTGTGGCCTGGGCTGCCCCTGCCAGCGCCATCACCAGCGGCGGCCGCCGCCTCGGCCGTGGCGCCCGTGGCAGGCGGCGGGGAGGCACCGACGCGATTACGGCAAGCTCGCTCCGTGAAGTTTTCTGGGATTTGGGCGTGCGCGCTTACCCTGAAGAGGAAACGGTACGCTGGGTTTCTTCATAAGCGTGGGGGGGTACCCCCCCGACGGGGGTCAACCTCGCCTCGTCGTCGCGCCGCGACGGGGGTCGCAGCGCCGTCGGCGCGCGGTGGCTACCCGCGACGGGGGTCGACGTGGGGCTGTCGGCGGGGGTGACGCCCCCCCCGATGCTTCTTAAGAAACTCGAAGTACCTCCACCGCGATCCTCGCCTCGTCTTCCCCATTATGGGCCTCCTGGGAGGCACTCGTCGCCACGGCTAGATTCGCCCCTAAATTCTGGTCAGAGCGCACCCCGGGAGAGGTCCAGGGAGTAGCAGTATCGGTACTCGTTGGTTTCCCAATGTGCTTGCATTGTTCGAGCCATGTTGGCCTAGTGGAGTATGCTTATCGAATGGAAAATTGGCGGACTCCGTTCAGCGTTATACTGGCTACTTTTCGTTTTCACGTGTCGGCTCAATTGTCGTGGCTTGAGTCTGGTACTTCTTCTGTGTTGCAGACGAGCTTGTCAGAGTCACAGACAGTGCTGGCCGTCCGTCTTGCGAGGCCTTGGAAGAAGATGTTTGGTAAGGAATGCCCCGACTCAAGAGATAGTTACTTTTGCGTGGCACTGCTCTTGCTTTTTGGACGATCTACAGGGGTACAGTGGCGACAACATCCGCTCGTCCAGGTTATTGTCAAGAAGGTTTCGTCCATACTACGATCCGGGCCATTATTTTCGTTCACGGCGTCATTCCGAGGACAGATGACGGCCGCCCCGACAAGTTACATCGTTGCGCCGGCCCTGGCAAACGAAGCTTGTGGTAAATATTGTCATGGTTCTAACACAGCACTGCATAGGTTAATCACGTTCTTGTCGTTCTGGGTCCCGTTGTTCGAAATGTCAAGGTTCATGTGTTATTGATTTCCTTGCAGCGCGACTGTTATCGACTAGAGGTAGAGCGCCAAGGAGGCATTCCATGGAAAGTTGTCTTCTTGTTCGCGAGGCATCTCATCGAGCTTTGCAGGCATAGGTTGTTATTGCGTGTGCTCCGCATGATATTCTGGAATGTGAGCTTCCACACCGTATGATGATTGGCATCCAAAAGCGTCCTCACATATGAGTTCCCGAAATTACAAACAACACAGATATGCCCAGCACAGCGCTTGCACAATAGACTCTGGTTGCCAGGATTTTCGTGTGTGCACCACGTTTGCCGACCGCTGTCAACGTTACGGTCCCGGAAGGATACCCCGATTGCGGTAGAAGGCACCACGGGATAGGACATCAGTTCCAGGCTAGCAACGCAGTCATGAGAGAATTGTTGACGCTTCGCGAATCCCCACCAGCCCATCCAGAAACGATGCTTTGAGGAATTGCTTCGATCAGGGAAGTGGGCAGCACACAAAGGAAGCCATTATGAGACATCTTGGAATATCTTGAGCCATTTTGGAGGTCATTTGGGGCTCTCCCAGGCGCTCTTGACCTTAATCAGTGCCCCCCCAAGAGGCCAACATGTGGCTAAAACCTTCGTAAACTCAATGTGTTGGCATTCCCGCCGAGGCTTCTTGGAGCGTCTTGGGTGCCTCTGGGGGGTCTTTTGGGGCCTCTTGGGGGTCTCTTGCGAGCCTCCTGGGGGCCTCTTGGGAGCCTCTTGGGGCCATCTTGGGGCCATCTTGGGACCTCTTGGGGCCTCCTGGGCGCTTTTTGGGGGCCATCTTGGAGGAGACCGATCAAACAAGAATGGGGCCAAAACCTTAGTAAAACCAATGATTGTGGCTTCCTCGCCGAGGCCGTTTTGGCATTCTCGCCGAGGCCTCTTGGAGCATCTTGGGTGCGTCTGGGAGGTCTCTTCGGGCCTCTCTTGGGGGCCTCCTGGGGGCCTCTTGGGGGCCTCTTGGGGCCATCTTGGGGTCATCTTGGGACCTCTTGGGGCCTCCTGGGCGCTTCTTGGGGCCATCTTGGAGGAGATCGATCAAGCAAGAGGGGAGCATTAATTAACGTCCCCCCCCCAGGAGGCCAAAATGGGGCCAAAACCTTAGTAAAACCAATGATTTTGGCTTCCTCGCCGAGGCCGTTTTGGCATTCTCGCCGAGGCCTCTTGGAGCTTCTTGGGTGCTTCTGGGGGGTCTCTTGGGGCCTCTCGGGGGTTTCTTGGGAGCCTCCTGGGGGCCTATTGGGGGCCTCTTGGGGGGGCCTCTCGGGGGCGTTTTGGGGCCTCCTGGCCACCTTTGGGGACCCTCTTGGGGCACCCTTGAGAGCCTTGGGAGCGCTCTTGGGGCAAAGAAGGGGGGCTCCCTAATTAGCCCCCCCCCCCCCGGAGGCCAAAATGGAGCCAAAACCTTTGTAAAACCAGTGATTTGGGCTTCCTCGCCGAGGCCGTTTTGAACGCTCCAACTACCCGCGACACCCCCTGTCCAGGTCCAGGGGATAGGGGGAGGGGTAACCCCTCCCCGAAGGTGGAGAAGGAGGGGTGGAAGAGGAATCTCCCCAAACCACCCTTAACCTTGGGATTCTCTGTCGGGGCGAATTTTATTCATACGCTAATCCAGTAAGTCACTTCAGAACAAATCCTCGAACTGACACGATTATGACATGCTGATTCAACAATCATCCGGATCTTCGAAGATGAAAGGTGGTTTCCGGAACAAATCGGCCTCCCAGTGTTTTTTTGTCCGTGTTTCCCAAAGAGTTCGCGGCGCCTTTGGAGCATAGATGCGGCAGCACGGGATCAAAAGTTGCTAAGTTTGGCGAGTTCGTTCCTTTTGAATCGGTAAATATATATGAGTGATTATTTGTTGGGAACCATGTCGCGAACCCCGCGATAGTTATCAGCGGGATACAGGAGGAGGAGGTGGAGGAGGAGAGAGAAGAGGAGGACGAGGACGATGAGGAGGAGGAAGCGGCGGAGGACGAGGACGATGATGAAGACGACGACGACGAGGACGAGGACGAGGACGGGGACGGGAACGACAGACGCAGTGGACGAGGACGAAGACAAGGACGGAACGACGACGAGGGGGAGAAAGACAAGAAAGATAAGGATCAAGACAAGAAAGAGGGGGGAGGGGACGTCGCAGGACTGCTCTTGAGCTATATATATATAATACATATATATACATATATGTATATAGATGTGTATATCAGGAACAGTCGCTTCCAGATTTAAAACTCTGGAAATCTAAATTTGATTGTTTTGCAAAGGTTAATTGTACTATTCAGCAATAAAATACATAAAGTGTACGTCGCTATGAATAGCCGTTCCATACACGGTTTCCACATCCGCATTCTCCCCCGATTCGAGTCCGACTGGTTTCTACACTCCGATTTGTTTCGGTGAAACACATATTCAATGATCAGTATTTCTAAGTCTCCAGTTGTCCGTTTTGATACGATCTCGGGGATCAAGGTTTGAGGGCTGGTATCGCATAACCAAAACAATATATTCGAAGTTGTTGGTGCCGCCGATATTCTGGAGATATGTCGGAGCCAATGTAGCTAAATATGTGAGACCATTTCGGTACTACCACTAGTTGGTTTGATCTGAGCTGTTTGAGCACGTATTCCACGTGAGGGGGCCAGACGGTTATTCATTGTCCCTGGGTGCGTGGTTGAACAAAACGTTCGTGGTGAGGATTTTGCGTGCTGCGTTGAATATTCCGCAGGTTTGGATGGACTACCCCGACGACGCGGCGGGATTCAGATGGCACCACAAGTTGTTGCTCATCCAGACCCCGAACGCCAGCGTGTGGATTGCCAGCACCCCCGACTACTCGGTCCAGCGGTTGGACCTCAACACACACACACACACACACACACACAGCGTCGTGGCGCTCGGTCGGGACAGCCTTTTCCCCGCCGCCCAGTAACACGAGAGCTACGTTTTCGACAACCCTGTGCTTGCGGCGGAGTTGGCGCGGATACGCCACCAAGCTTTCTCTTTCGCCCTCGTTTTAGGGCAAGTCGGTCCAGCTGGTCCAGCAGCCGCCGCGGTGGCAGAACAGTGGCGAGTCGCCGAGCCAGATCATTTATGACCCCGCCTCCTTCGTGACCCCCGCGGTTCCTGGAGATGAGGATAATATCAGCGATCCCGTGCTCATCGACAACTGCTGGACGTTCTGCCAACTCGTCTCAGATGCCAATAAGGACTCCTGGAAACGGGCATTCGTGTCGGGCCACAAGCGGGACCTTCGCGTCATCTGTCATGTCGGGGACCCCGACACAGGACAGCGGTTCTTACCTTTTCTTGAGTCGCTCGGCTTGCAGCACACCGCGACCGAGCCGCCGTTTCCCTTGGAGCGGTCAGAGGGCCATGCACGAGTACATGCGGACGGTGCGAGCCACCGGCACGGAGTGGATCACCCACCACTTGGACTTCGTCCACACGTTGGGCGTCTCGCCCAGCAGCAATGTCCCTCGCTGTCAGCTCACCGACGCTTTACACTCCGTCCAGCAGCAGGACTTGCTGAACTTGCCAAGCCTCGCGGGAATACAAGTCCTCGTGAGGTACTTGGTACAGATCGAGATGGCCGTCGCCCGCCATCCTCGCAGGCCTGACTTCCAGGACCTCGACGCCGTCGTCGTCAACGAGTTTGGCGGCCTCGCCCTCCCCGAGTACTCGAAGTACATCCAGTAGGACGAGGCCACCACCCTCAAGCAGCAGCGCCTGCGGCGCGAGTAGCAGCTCACCCGCGGCGGCGGGCGCGGCTCGGGCGGCTTCAGAGACGGCGGCGGCTGCGGAGACGGACACGGCGGAGGAGGCGGCCGCGGCCGAGGCCGCGGGCGCGGGCGCGGCGGCGGGCGGGGTCGCGGCGGTCGGGACGCCCCGGCCGCCGCGGAGTCATGATTCTCGTCGCTCAGGCCGCGGAGAGGCGGCGCCCCCCCCCGGCGCCGCTCGGCCAACGAAACTTCTGGAGTTCGTTTCTCTGGGGGCCGCGCGATGGGGCCC